TATATATATATATATATATAAGAAATGCTGTTATTTATTAAAGAATTATCTATTCTCTTATGATATAAGAGAAATAGTTTCTCTTATTGTTTGAGTTGATGATTTTAATTCGTGCTTATAAATATGTATTTTATATAATAATCTTTGCTCATTTTTATAGAGAGTGCCAGTAATTCTGGAAAGCCCTGTACCTCTGTAATTTCCAAAAACAGGTTGATTGGTAAATGCACACTTATCTGAAATATGGGACAAAGATCTTTAAGAATAATCCAGGACTTGTACTTCATACTTAATATGAAACTGTAAGACTCAGCTTTTATAACTGAATAAACTGATATAACCAAAAAGTTGATATTTATGTCTCATTTTGGCAGCATTTTATTTCCTGTTTAGGGTATGGATCTCACTGGGGAAATCTGCTTTTGACAGAATTCTGTTGTTCCATTGTTCAGTTGTTAGCCGATAATCTTATTTTACTTTCCATCTTTCTCAGGTTGGCTGTATGTTTGTGAAGATCTCTCAGCCAAACAAGCGGGCAGAGACACTGGTGTTCTCCCGGAACGCAGTCATCTCTCTGCGGGACGATAAGCTGTGTCTGATGTTCCGAGTTGGGGATCTGAGATCCTCACACATCGTGGGAGCCAACATGAGAGCAAAGCTCATCAAATCCAAACAGACCCAAGAGGGTGAGACTCCAGCTGGAGCTTCTCAAATCATCAAGACTACGAAATATGGAAATCAAAGTGCTCAACATCAGCAAAATTAGGGATGAATACAGCGGTGCCATCTGGTGGTGGACAATGAAAAATCCTGTGTCAAGAGTAATCAAGAGCTGCAGTGGTTAAATTTGCATTTAGAAAAAAGAGCACCACTGCTGTGTTTCACATTCAGAATAATGCTAAATGTTAGAGGTATTTAATGTCAGAAAACCCAAATGGTAATGTTATTAATGGAATAACATTAATAAGTCTACTAATAAGAACTGTTGTTACTCTGTTATGAGTTAAATCAAAATTGAACTCAGTTCATCTTTCATATTCAGAAATATACTATTTAAAACTCCAGTATGTAAAACAAAAAAAAGGTCTTTAAAAGTCAAATTAAAAAATTATTGCGATGCCATGCTTATTATAAATACTAATACTAATGCTCCTAAAACATAATACATTTTTTAAATCAAATTTTTATTCAAGACTGCAAACAGCGTTAAAGTACAAAGTTAAGTGGTATAAAATAAAGGTAAAAAAAATAAAGGTACAACACTCCAAACAGTCTTACCCTTATTAAGTTCCATCCCACCCACCCATGGCGACCATGTAATCTCCCACTTTCCCTCATCCCACTCCCCCTGTAACACCTTAAGGTACAGTTAGTGACAATACATACAGTAAGATAATATCACAACCATTCAAAAATATGACAATTTAAGAAGAACAAAAAATAATAACAAAAATAATCTAACAATCAATTACATGTACAACATGTAAAAACAATCAAATCTTGCCACCAATAATTCCATGTTCACGATGTCTAAGAAAGAGTACATCCAATGTTACCAGGCTAGAGAGTGTGGAGGTTGCCAACGTAAGGCAAGCATTTTCTTAGCTGCAGTCAATCCAGAGAATAAAGTTTTTTGTGAGTCGGTGAAAAACTGAAAGATGAGTTGTCAGTTAGAAGCAAAAGTTTAGGACGGCATGGTATATCAATCTCAAGAATGTTTTTTAAAGTCATAGATACCTGTACCCAAAACTTATTTACACCAGGGCAATCCCAGAACATGTGTCTATAACTACCTATGGAGAACATTGATTACAAGTAGGAGACAGGGAAAGTTTAATTAAATAAGTTTCCTGGGTGTGAGATACATCCTGTGAGCCATTTTGTAATTAATTAGTTGGTGGTTAGGGTTCTTAGAGACATGTCTAAGATTAGACCATATTCCATCCCAACAAATTTCGCCATTATTGGGTTCTGTACATGCACCACATACATCTCTATATCAATGTCCAATATTGGTAGTTGTTTATAGGAAGCTTCCAAAAACAACAATTGTAAAGATGATACCATACCCCTTGTACATCCATTTGCTGTTAGCATTTTGTGCAAAGTGAGACAAGGGATGGTAGTACCCAATGGAACTCCATATGCTCGCATAGCGGATCTCAGGCGCAAGTAAAGAAAAAGGAGGTCTGTGGCAAATTCCTAAAACATAATGTTAAAGTTAGAGTTTACACTTTATGAGTTTACATTTTCTGTTCTTGGGCCTGATCGTCACAGATAAGAATCATACATTGTAAAAGAATTCTTCAGTCATGAGTTGAGATCGTAGAGCGGTAATGTGATGTGCTCAATGTCACGTGGAAGATTTTGCACCATTGTGACCAAAGACAGTCAGCGACGAAGCTCAATGCCTGACCGCTGTTATGACACTTGTATAAATGCCACCAATAGGAGGATGGCATAGAATTATAGAATTATCTCACAGGACACCTACAAAGCTAGTGGCAATGCTGAAACATTAATGAAACATGCTAATAGACAAAAAAATCTTATTACCTCAAGCTAAACTTGAAGAATGTTTCTTTTCATTTTGTTTAATCACATTTTGTTTTATCTATTGTTAGAGAATCTTTGTTGTATAATTTGATATGGACAACATATGTTATTGCACATTCTGTTATAATCTAGTAATAATCTGAATTTTAACCAAATTGAACCAAATTTCCTAAGTAAAACTTATATTTTGATCTCTTTTCTTTCTTTTTTTTCCCTTTCTAGGTGAATTTATTCCTCTGGATCAGACAGATATCAGTGTGGGCTTTGAGACAGGGGATGACCGCTTGTTCCTGGTGTCTCCGTTGGTCATCTCTCATGAGATCGACTCACGCTCGCCGTTCTGGGACATGTCCCAGGCACAGCTGGAGAAGGAGGACTTTGAGATTGTTGTTATTCTGGAGGGCATGGTGGAAGCTACAGGTGAGACAGACACAAGCACATCAAAATTCTTTAACTGTAACAGTCAAGCAGTACATATGGCCTTCCCTCTTCAATTCAGACCACAGGTTTTCAGTAGAGTTTAAATACGGAAACTGAGATGGTTAAACACTGATTTTGTGTTTCTTTAACAATTGGGAAGTATATCTGACTTATCATCTTGTTCTAAGCTCTATCTATGGCCATGTCTGGACCTCCTGGCAGAGGCAAACAGGTTTGAGGCTGATATCAGTCTTCCCAAGATCCCTTGTTCCACCAGCCACAAAACAGCCCCAAAGTATCAATGATCCCTCACAACATTTTACAGTGGGTATCAGGTCCTTTTCCTTGTATGCATTTTCTTTGTCACCAAACATGCCTATGGTGCATGACCAAAAATTTTAATTTTGGTCTCATCTGATCACAACAGACAATGCCAGTTGTAGAATTAATGATGCTTGGTGAAGTGAATTTTGTGAGATCAAAAACTTTTTGTTATGGCCCTAATTGTACTTTTTTATATTCATTACCTG